CCCTTAACTTGTATATATAGGCTATTCATCTTCTGTACAGAATACTTCATCAATATACAATTACGTAGCCTACTGCATACGTTTCATCACATGGTATCAGAGCCACGGCGAGGGTGAGAGGAGGGTTGCGATCGGAGGACGACGGCGACGCTTCGCCGTGAAATCGCGACGCAACCGGAGCTTCCACGCGCCGTCACGCGCCATCGCGACAGTTGGTCGCCGATCCACGTGCCGGCGCGTGAGGAGTTTTCCGGCGACTTCCCGTGACGCCGATGACACCGGCGTGGTAGCAGGGAGGAGCCCAGTCAGGCTGTGCAGTGCGTGAGGCATTTTGGTGAAGGGTGGTTGGAGTGTTCTTCAAGCTTGTGTCGGCTATTTGGCTCATACTGTTTCCCAGGTTCTTTTGTTTAAGTTTTTCTTTATGGCAGATGCAAGAAATATTACGTGTAATGTTATATCGACCCCGACCAAATTAGTTGATGTGGTGCTTGCACCAGATGGGTCTAATTTTGGAGAGTGGAGATTTTTTGTTGAAATTAATTTGGGGGGTATGGGTAAGGATAAACATTTGACTGGGACGTGTCCAACAGAGCAAACTGAGGCTCAAGAATGGAACAGGGATGATAAAGCTTTATTATCCCGCATAATAAATTGTTGATAAGAAAATCATTCTGTCTATGCAACACTGTAAGACTGTCAAGGAGGTTTGGGACTTGGTAAATAAATGGTTTAGTGGAACAAACAACCTGAGGAAATTGTATCAATTATCTCAGGATGTCCATCGTCCCTCCCAAAATGGACGAGACATCCGAGATTATTTTTATGATTTCAAGAGTGCGAGTGAGGCGTTGTGTACTGCTATGCCAGTCACGGATTTGGACACAGTAAAAAAGCAATATGATCAGTTGCATGTGTTTAGCTGGATTTCAGGGTTAGATAAAGAATATGATGTCTTGAAGTCTCAGTTGCTAGGGCATAAAGAGTTAGAATCAATAGACCAAGTTTTTACTATGGTCCAGAAAGCCTCAAGTACAGGTAGCGGAGTATCGGAGAAGCATGTTTTTGTAGCGCAAGGGGATAGTGGAGGTGTAGGTTCTGGTAATCGCGGGGGTCGATTCCTAGGACGTGGTGGCTTTGGTAGAGGATGAGGTCGAGGTCCAAGGGTTTGTTATAATTGTGGAGAGCCTGGTCATCTACGTAACCAATGTCCAAAACCTCTCCGACCACAAAGCTTTGCCAATTCTATCTCCAAACCAGAGGGTAATGTGGTTGTAATGACAGATGAAGAGTTGGCTATGTTTAAACAGTTAAAAGTGGCCGCCTCACAACCTCTAAACAGTCAGGAAACGTTACCGTCTTCCTCAGCCACGTTTGTCCAAACAGGTAATCCTACTGCTTGTGTCTCGTCCTCATCCCGACAGTGGGTTATTGATTCTGGAGCCAGTGATCATATGTCAGGTAATCTAAATGTCTTTTCTGAATATTCTTCCTTTCCACCTGGTACTACAGTTACCCTAGCGGATGGTTCATCCGCTTCAGTTTCGGGTAGAGGTAGTACCAATGTAACCATGTCGTTACCTCTCTCTCGTGTGTTATACCTTCCGAAATTTCTGTTCAATTTACTGTCGATAAGTCAAATCATTCGAAGTTTAAACTGTTGTGTTGTGTTCTTTCCTGGTTATTGTTTGTTTCAGGATCTTTTGACGAAGGCGATTATTGGTAGAGGAAAGGAAGCTGGTGGGCTATATGTGCTGGAACAGTTCCCTCCTAGTCCTGAAAAGGCTCCTGTTAGTCTGTTGGGTAGTACGTCTCCTTCCAAGTTACATTGTCGGTATGGTCACCCGCCTTTATCTATTTTAAAGAAGCTGTGTTCGAACTTAGAGTCTTTGTCTGTTTTGCAATGTGAATCTTGCGAGTTTGCAAAGCATTGTCGGGTACCATATCCGCCTAGAGTCAATAAAAGGGTAGAGTCTTTATTTCAGTTGGTTCATTCAGATATATGGGGACCATGTCGGGTTCCATCTAAATCCGAGTTCAAATACTTTGTAATCTTTGTGGACGATTTCTCGAGACACACTTGGTTATATCTCATGAAATCTAGGGATGAATTGTTTGAAGTCTTTTGTAAATTATGTTCTATGGTTAAGACTCAGTTCAATAAAATGATTCAAGTTTTGCGTAGTGATAATGGGACTGAATATTTTTCCCGTACCTTTTCCGAGTATATGAGCCAAAACGGAATAATACACCAGTCCTCTTGTGTGGGCACTCCTCAACAGAATGGTGTGGCAGAACGTAAAAATCGCCATTTGTTGGAGGTTGCCCGGGCCTTGTTATTTAAGATGAAAGTTCCCAAAGGGTTCTGGCCGGATGCTATCCATACAGCTTCGTTCTTGATTAATCGATTAACCTCGACAGTACTCCAAGGCCAGGTTCCGTGTCACCTTGTCTATCCGTCCAATCCGTTATTTTCCCTTCCACCCAGGGTGTTTGGGTGCACGTGTTTTGTTCAGGATATCCGTCTTCACAGGGGGGAAACTTGATCCTAAGTCTCTGAAGTGCATATTCTTGGGGTATTCTAGCACTCAGAAAGGGTATCGGTGTTATTCTCCTGACTTACAAAGGTACTTAGTGTCTGCTGATGTGTCGTTCTTTGAGGATGTTGTGTTTAAGGAACCTCTCACCTCATCTGATTGTAATTCAGTGTTGGACGATTTCCTTACATATACTGTTACTGTTCCTTCCGTGGGTTGGGGTGAGACAAGGCCTCCTGTTACACAGGTTTATCACCGGCGGTCAAGAGAAGTTCAAGCATTGTTAGGTCCATCAGCCAATCCTTCCTCGCCAGCGTCGTCGTCAACAGATTCCGATCTTCCAATTGCTGTTCGTAAAGGTACGCGTCGTTGTGTTCATCCCATCTCTTTAGTTGTGTCATATGTCCAATTATCCCCCTCTTCACGTGTCTTTATATCTCAGTTAGAGTCAATTAAAGTGCCAACGTCTTTGAAACAAGCTATGGGTCATGATGGTTGGAGACAGGCTATGGGGGAAGAGATGGCTGCCCTTGAAGAGAACCAAACCTGGGAGTTGGTGGATCTTCCATTCGGTAAGGTAACTATTGGATGTAAATGGGTTTATGTAGTGAAGATGAACCCTGATGGTTCTGTTGCCAGACTCAAAGCGCGCTTGGTGGCTAAAGGGTATGCACAGACGTATGGTATAGATTATACCGAGACTTTCTCCCCGATGGCTAAGTTGGCTTCGGTACGTGTTTTTATATCTTTGGCTGCTACTAATCACTGGCCGTTACATCAATTAGATGTCAAAAATGCGTTTTTGCATGGTGATTTACTTGAAGAAGTTTATATGGAGCAACCACCAGGGTTTGTAGCTCAAGGGGAGTCTGGGAAGGTGTGCAAGTTAAAGAAATCTTTGTACGGTCTAAGGCAGTCCCCGCGTGCGTGGTTCGGAAGGTTTAGTAGTGCGGTTATGAAATTTGGAATGCAGAGGAGTGCTTATGATCATACTGTCTTTTATAAACATACTAACCGTAGGTGTGTTTTATTGATAGTATACGTGGATGACATTGTGGTCACAGGTAGTGATGCAGACGGGATTGGTGTTCTTAAGTCCTTCCTTGGAGCTGAGTTTCATACTAAAGATTTGGGAATACTAAAATACTTTCGGGGTATTGAGGTTGCTCGCTCAAAGAAGGGCATATTTCTCTTACAGAGAAAATATGTGATGGACCTTCTTGGTGATACTGGACTGCTTGGGTCGAAACAGTGTGATACGCCGATGGAACAAGGGGTCAAGCTTGTACCAGATGAGGGGGAGGTGTTTGAGGATCCAAAAAGGTATAGGAGACTGGTAGGGAAGCTAAACTACCTCACGATTACTTGACCGGATATTGCATTTCTGGTGAGTGTGGTGAGTCAGTTCATGAGTTCACCTACACGAACTCATTGGGAACCAGCTGTTCGTATTGTGAGGTATCTGAAGAGCACACCTGGGATGGGGGTCCTTTATGCTGATTATGGACATACAGGTGTTGAGGCGTTCTCTGATGCGGATTGGGCTGGCTCGCCTAGTGATAGGAAGTCAATGACAGGATATTGTGTGTTTTTGGGAGGCAATTTAGTTTCATGGAAGAGTAAGAAGCAAAGTGTTGTGGCGCGATCAAGTGCAGAGTCCAAGTATAAAGCTATGGCTTATGTGACCAGTGAGATAGTTTGGGTGCATAACATTTTAAAAGAGATGGGTGTAGAAGTGAAACTTCCTGTGAAGCTGTGGTGTGACAATCGTGCAGCCATTCACATTACGAATAATCCAGTTTTCCAAGCGGACAAAACACATTGAAGTGGATTGTCACTTTATACGAGAGAGTGCAACAAGGGCTGATATCTGCTGAGCATGTTTGTAGTGGTGATCAATTAGCTGACATATTCACGAAAGGGCTGAGCAGGAGTCGGATGTCGTATATATGTAACAAGCTGGGCATGTTTGATATTTATGCTCCAGCTTGAGGGGGAGTGTTAGAAGAGTTGGGTTGTGGTTGAGAGGATCACTCTTAACCTTAGGATTTGAATTTTGAATTTAATGGCTGTTGCTTTCCCTTAGCTTGTATATATAGGCTATTCATCTTCTGTACAGAATACTTCATCAATATACAATTACGTAGCCTACTGCATACGTTTCATCACAGCGTCGTTTGGTAAGAACGAGATGCTGAAAGCCCTCGAAGTCGTGGAGAGAGCCTCTATGGCAATTGCCCAGAGCTTCACTAGCCTCTTCGCCTCCCTCCGTACGACCCTCTCTGAAATTCACTAAATTTTTACTCTTAGCATGTTATTAATCATCTATTCACTTTTAAAGACTGAATTAGTGGAAAGGGTTAGGTAATTTGGATTAAGAATATGTAACTTGACGGATATAAGATGCATTTTGTGGATGGGTTTTGGATGATTTAACTTGGAAAGGGTTAGGTAATTTGGATTAAGAATATGTAACTTGACGGATATAAGATGCATTTTGTGGATGGGTTTTGGATGATTTAACTTTCTACACATCATCTGGTGGGTGAAAGTGAATTTGATAGGGAAATTGGGTTATAATGTGAAGATATGCTAGAAATCAAAAGATTCTAATTTTGAAGATGTAACGACCCTGCATGGTTGCATAATCAATGAGGAAAGTGGGAGGAATGGGTGGCAATCAGTGGGAAGGAAGAAGGAATTGGCTGGGGAAATGATTGGGCAAGAAAAGACCAAAACGACACCGTAGGGAACAATGCAGTTAAGTGCGTTATAAATCAAGGGCCAAGCGATGTCGTTTAGAGTAACTGCTGGAATCAGTTGAGGCAGTCTTCAAACGACGTCGTCTCAGCAAGCTCTCAGCAACTTCCTTCTGAACAAACTCCTGAGAGGGAGGGAGTTATTACCATTCGGTTTTGAATTTGCTTTTCAATTATTTGTTGCTTGTATTGGTTTTTAAGCCAAGGGACTGGAGAAGTTTTCTTTATGCGTTGAATAATAATCAATCCTTCCTTTACTCTTCTTTTTTCTCCAAACCCTAAATTCTCTCGTTTTTCCAAATTCTCCATTCAATCTGCCAAGTACGTTGCAAGTGGTATCAGAGCCCTCACATGGAAGATCGTATCCGGAAGTTCGAAACCACTATCATTGAGCTTAATAGAAAATAGACAGTCGGTTTCAGGCAACCCAAGACTCAGTGGATGAGCTTTCGACTCAGATGAACACTCAGTTTGGAGCTCTCAGAGAAGAACTTATGCAGATTTTGAGGCTCAATCGACCTGCCCCACCCATATTAGGGAATTCACCGGGACAATCATCAGTCCAATGTCAGGTCTCTGAAGGTCACGGGGGAAGGCCAGACAAGGCCCCTATGCAGGAAAGTGAAGCTGATGAGGCTGAGACAGAAGCTGTAACACCTGTGGCTGGAAATCCAGTGGGCAGACTGCCTGTGGACTATAATCCCAGAAGAAGATTGTTGGATGGATTGAGGCAAGGGATAGCTGGACAGAACACTGAGTTTTTCCCAAGGTACAAAAGTGAATTCCCAACTTTTGATTATACTAATCCTAGACAATGGGTGCTTAGGTGTGAAAAGTTTTTGGTATTATCTCATATCCTTAGAGGGGAGGTAGTCAATAAGCTATATGTGCATTTATCTGGAAAGGTTGGCCTATGGTTTGAAGGGTATGTGCATGAATTGAGGGGGGAATTCCATTGGGCTACTTCTGCAAATGCCTTGTGTAGAAGGTTTGGAGATAGTGGAGTCTCTCTTATGGAGGACTTTGCTGCCTTCAACCAGTGGAGTGGAGTGGATGAATTCACTGATGGTTATGAGAGTTTTAAGAGTCTTTTGCTGCAAGCTCACCCCTGTTTGACTGGGGAATATTTCCTGGAAAACTACGTTGCAAGGTTAAAGCAAAACTTAAGATGTTTTGTCAAGACTGCCAAGCCTGACAGACTGGAAGATGCCATCTGGTTGGCTAGACAGTATGAGAAGGGGCTGAAGGGTAGTGAAGACCCTAAGACTGCAAACTGGACACCTAAAGCCACACCCCCTAATAGATCCTACAGTTTCAATTCTAACCAAACACCAATCCACAACCTAAACCCTACCCAAAGACCTGCTATGTCAACCCAAACTACTGCATCCAAAACCCCAGGATTCATCCAATTCAGGAATCAGTTAAGGGAACAAAAAAGGTGTTTCAAGTGCTTTGATCCATGGCAACTAGGGCACAAGTGTAGTGGCCCCACTTTCAACATTATAGAGGACTTGGAAGGGGGAGAACTATCTGAAATACTGGAAACAGAAGGGATTAAGGTAGTTCCTGAGGAGGTGGAGGTATCACTTTGTGTTGTGGTAGGTGGTGAGGGGTTAAACACTATTAAGCTGCTGGGGTTTATCCAGAAACAACCAGTGGTTATCTTAGTGGACAGTGGAAGCACACACAGGTTTCTGGACCCCAAACTGATGAACCAACTGAGGAAGCAACCTGAAAAAGCTAAACCCCTAGAAGTGACAGTAGCTAATGGAGAAAAATTGATAAGTGACTCAATTTGCCAAAGCCTCAATTGATAGATTCAACAGGAGAGCTTTACCAAGGACTTTAGGTTGTTAAAGCTTGGAGGGTGTGACAGGGTGCTTGGTATGGATTGGGTGGACCTATTTGCCCCTATCCAATTACACACCAGGCCACCAGGAATCTCCTTTTATAAAGAAGGCAGAAGAGTAGTTCTGAAGGGGCTAACTAAAAGGGTGCTGCTTAAGGCAGCCTCTGAAAAGCAAATCAAGAGGTGGCATAAGGAAGGAGTGCAAGGTTTCCTTGTTCAATGCAGTGCTATGACAGATCTTCCCTTACACCCAAACACTTACCCAAAAAACCTTAAACCACAATCCTCAAAACCAGAACTAAATACCCTACTATTAGAATTTTCAGATCTTTTCCAAGAAAAAAAACCCTTCCACCTACAAGAACCTTAGACCACACCATACCCCTTGTTCCTGGAGCCAAACTTATCAATATAGGACCCTACAGATACTCATTTGACCAAAAGAATACCATTGAGAAAATGGTTGAGGAGATGTTAGCAGCTGGAGTAATCACCCCTAGCTCTCCTGTTTTGCCTCTCCAGTCCTTCTTGTGCCTAAGAAGGATAACTCTTGGAGATTTTGCATTGATTATATGGCACTCAACAATATCACAATCAAGAATAAGTTTCCCATACCCCTCGTTGAAGACCTTTTTTTTTTTTTTTTTCTGAATTAGCAGGAGCTGCTTGTTTTTCCAAGTTGGATCTCAGGTCTGGTTATCATCAGGTCAGAATGAAGGAGGGAGAGGAATTCAAAACTGCCTTTAGAACTCATCAAGGGCTTTATGAGTTTAGGGTGATGCCATTTGGGCTCACCAATGCACCTGCTACCTTCCAGGCATTGATGAACATGGTTTTCAAACCCTTCCCTAGGAAATCAGTATTGGTTTTCTTTGATGACATATTGATTTATAGTCCTAATTGGGAGACACACTGGCAACATTTGAGGGAAGTCCTTTTGACTATGAGGGAACATAAGCTTTTAGCTAAGATGAGCAAGTGTGCATTTTCCCAAAATCATATTGAGTACCAGGGGCATATTATTTCTCAGGAGGGGTTGCAGACTGATCCCTCTAAATTAGAGGTTGTGGCAGCATGGCCTAAGCCACAGATTGTCAAGGCCTTGAGGGGATTCTTGGGTCTGGCGGGTTACTACACAGATATGCTGAAAAAGATGGTTTTGAATGGAACCTGGAAGCAGAAAAGGCTTTTGACACATTGAAGAAAGCTCTATGCTATTCACCAATCCTAGCGCTTCCTGATTTTCACAAAGAATTCATAATAGAGGCTGATGCAAGTCATAAGGGAATGGGGGCTGTTCTGATGCAAGAAAGGAGGCCCATAGCTTTTTTTAGTAAAGCTTTTGGAGGGAAGCACTTGGGATTATCCATCTATGAGAAGGAGTATCTCTCAATCATAAATGTTGTGGAAAGATGGAGACCTTATTTATTGGGAAGGCATTTCACCATCAAAACAGATCACCGCAGTTTACAATTTCTTTTGGAACAGAAAATCACTACCACACTGCAGCAAAAGGGATTAACCAAACTCTTGGGGTTAGACTACTCCATTCAATACAAGGAGGGGGGGGGGGGGTCAGAAAATAGAGTAGCAGATGCTTTATCTAGAAGGGATGAGGTAGCAATCAACTCTATTTCAGTGGTGCAACCCCAATGGTTGGAAGAAGTGATCAATAGTTATAAAGAGGATGCATGGGCATCTGAGAACTTAGTTGCTGCCTTTATTGGTCTTACTGAGGCTAATATTACTGTATCTGGGGGACTATTGAGATACAAAGGCAGATTGTATTTCCCATGGGGACCTAAGGAGGGAATTGATATTGAAGCTTCATGAGTCTGCCATAGGTGGTCATTCAGGTCAAACAGGAACATATCACAGAATGAAGTCCCTTTTCTTTTGGAAGGGAATGAAGAAGAATGTGATTGACTTAGTCCAGTCATGTGATACTTGCCAAAGATGTAAGCATGAGAATGTGGCAAGCCCTGGGCTTTTACAACCACTAAACATCCCAGGGGAGACTTTACAGAGCATCTCTATGGACTTCATAGAAGGATTGCCTAAGTCCAAGCAGAAAAATGTTATCCTGGTAGTAGTGGACAGGTTAACCAAGTATGCACACTTCATTTCCCTTGCACATCCCTACACTGCTGAAACTATTGCAGACTTATTTATGGAGAATGTGTATAAACTTCATGGGCTACCTAGGAGCATTGTATCTGATAGGGACAAGGTGTTTACTAGAAGATTCTGGCAAGCTCTGTTTAAGAATATGCAGGTTCAGCTCAATCTCTCTACTGCTTACCACCCACAGACTGATGGGCAAACATAGAAGGTTAACAAGTGTGTTGAAGGCTACCTAAGGTGTATGACCTTCCAAAAGCCTAGCAGTTGGGGAAAGTGGTTGCATGTTGTAGAATGGTGGTATAACACTAACTACCATTCTGCCTTGAAATGCACCCCTTTTAAGGCACTGTATGGTTATCTTCCCCCACTGTTGGATTGCAATATAACTCCTACAGGTGAAGTGTCCAAATGGCTTGCTGAGAGAGATTCTGTGCTGGGAGCTCTTAAAGAAAATCTTAGACAAGCCTAGAATAGGATGAAAGTACAAGCAGACAAAGATAGGACTGAGAGAACCTTTGACATTAGGGATTGGGTCTATATGAAATTGCAGCCCTACAGGCAGGTCTCATTAGCTGTCAGAAATAACCTAAAATTGTCCTCCAAGTACTATGGGCCTTATAAGGTGATAGAAAGAATAGGGGCAGTGGCTTACAAACTGCAGTTACCTCCAGAGTCACAGCTTCATCCTGTGTTTCATGTTTCTCAACTTAAGAAGAGAGTTGGGGATAATACTATAGTCCAACTCAACCCCCTCTAAGACTGATAAGGAAGGGCAGAACCTAGTTGAGCCTATTGCAGTGTTGGGAAAAAGGCTGTTCAAGAGAAATAATCTGGCTGTCACACAAATTCTTGTTCAATGGGCAAAATCTGCCAGAAAATGCTGCCACATGGGAGGACTATTACCATGTTAAGATTCAGTTTCCCTCTTTTGATCCTTGGGGACAAGGATCGACTGGAGGAGAGGGTGTTGTAACGACCCTGCATGGTTGCATAATCAATGAGGAAAGTGGGAGGAATGGGTGGCAATCAGTGGGAAGGAAGAAGGAATTGGCTGTGGAAATGATTGGGCAAGAAAAGACCAAAACGACACCGTAGGGAACAAGGCAGTTAAGTGCGTTATAAATCAAGGGCCAAGCGACGTCGTTTAGAGTAACCGTTGGGATCAGTTGAGGCAGTCTTCAAACGACGTCGTCTCAGCAAGCTCTTAGAAACTTCCTTCTGAACAAACTCCTGAGAGAGAGGGAGTTGTTACCATTCAGTTCTGAATTTGCTTTTCAATTATTTGTTGCTTGTATTAGTTTTTAAGCCAAGGGACTGGAGAAGTTTTCTTTATGTGTTGAATAATAATCAATCCTTCCTTTACTCTTCTCTCTTCTCCAAACCCTAAGTTCTCTCTTTCCCCAAATTCTCCATTCAATCTGCCAAGTACGTTGTAGAAGAGTTTCAGGTGTATTGTTTGGATATGGAAAGAGGATTTGGCAGTGATTTTAAAAGGTTTTACTTAACTGCTTCTTTGAAGAAAAAAAAAACTGTATTCACTTATTCCTTGCAAAATGACTTTGAATGCTTTTGTATATAGACAATTAAAAGAGGAGCTCACCAAGGTTCAGAATAAAGGCCAATGCTATTTCGTTTGTTACTCTGTTGTCAAAATGAAATCTTTCATTGAGATCATAGGTTGTTTTTAGTCTTAGCAATCACATGAATGACAAAGATAGTCTTCTTTGCCAAGTACCTTATGATCAGATGGCATCACTGTTAACCTTCTAAACGGAAGGTTATCGGTTCATGTTGAGCAAATAGTTAGTGTTAGATTGTAGTCACCAAAAAAAAAAAAAAAGATATTATTCTTTCTGTCAGTCATCGTAGCCAGAAAAGCTTCCCTGCTGGCAGTCTCTCAGCCTCAACATCTCTTCCGGTTGGACTCACAATGTGTTGCTTTTTGGGATTATTTTTGAGGAAAGACTATGTTCAATTCCAAAACTAGACCGTATATTCATATTCATATTGGCTTTACGTTGTTGCTACTAGTTCTTACTCTCAGGGGTTTCACATTGTTGGATTCTTAACCTTATGATGATTATTTTGACAAACATTCAAAGTTAAAATTTTACAACTATTAGCTTTTCAAAAATATATATGTGTGCTTGATTTCATTTTTGTGTTTGTCTGTAGGCTACTAGCAATTCAATTGAGCATATGAGTTGTTTCAATGATGCAGCTGGCCGCCTTCAAGAATGTTCATAGCAAGCCCCCCGTCTGTATATTCTTTGTTATATGCACATTTTCATATGCTTAGTGGTTGTTCTTAGCTATATGATCAGTTTGTCTGCTAGTTTATGCCCATTGTGGGTAAATATTGTTCCTTCTATGAGTAAAATGTGGGATGAAATCCAACCATCTTCTAGCCTAGCCACAAGACTGAAAGATAGCATACTTGTCTTTTCCTCTTCAAACTAAATAATACCCCCTCCGTCCCTAATTGAATGTCTTATTTGCTTTTTGCACGACTTTTAATACAACATAACAAATATTACTTAACTTTCTAATTTTGTCCCTCAAAAGTAGGTGTTATTTGTACAAAGTACAATTGTACTTACCTCTAGAAATTTGAAAAGTCAAAAGTGTAAATTGAAAAATGTAGAGTGATAGTTATGTTCAATTTTGAAAAGATGACACTATTTTGGGACAAACTAAAAAGGAAATGAAGACAGGTAAAATGGGGCGGAGGGAGTTCTTTGTAATTGATACTTTTTGTGCTCTAGCAAGTTTTCCATTCAATTTCGTCATTACAATCCCTATTTGTTCTGTAAGCGTTTTCTAAATTGTTGAACATAATATATATATGTGTAATCTAACTATCAGTTTACGTTTTTAGTTAAGATGGAACACATCTTTCAATTTGGTACAAGAGTTGGATCATATCCAACTTAGCCCTTTAGTTGATAAATAACACATTGTTCAATTTGTATTATTTGATTACATTTGTGCTATATTGACCGAGATAACTGAAAAAAAAAAAAAAAAAAAAAAAAAAAGTAAGCACTAATTATTGAACGTCGCATTCAAAGTTACAACTCTTGAATGAGGCCAGAAATCTTTTATGTCTCTTCTGTTGTTAGCGCAATCTAACTGTCGAAATTCCCACCACTAAACTCACTCAAATCCTCTCTCTCTCTCCCTTCGCCACCTCCCACCAAGCAAAACGGAGGACCACCGCTTCGCTACTCCCAATGGCTATCTCCGCCGCCACGGCCACCGCACATCTCTCCGCACCGTCGACTCACTCTCTCCCTCTCCCTCTCCGTCACCACTCATTCCTTGGCTTCCCAAGCCCAACTCACACTCACCCTTTCACTAGTCTCTCTCTCAAACTCCGACCTTTCCGATCATCTACCCGTTCTTCTTTTCACATTTTCTCTTTTGACCATCATGGCGGCGGCAGTGGTGGTGGGAGTAACTTTGGGGGCGGCAGCGGTGGAGGGGGAGGAGGAGGAGGAAAAGGAGGAGGGGAAGGTCATCATGGCGACGGAAATGCAGGGGAGAAGAACAAAGCAGGGGCGATTTTGGTGTTATCTGAAACTGGAAGATCTCTGGATAGTTTGCCTAAAGACATGGCAGCGGCGATTGAGGCGGGAAAGATTCCGGGATTGATAGTTCACCGGTATTTCGAGCTGGAAAAATCATTGATTCTCCGGTGGCTTCTCCGCTTTGGAGGGTTCAGGGAGCGGTTGCTAGGAGATGACCTTTTCTTGGCTAAACTTGGCATGGAGTGTGGTGTTGGTATCTTCACTAAGGTTATTGATTAGGCTGGGATAGATTCACATGCATTATTCTTAATTAATTGATTTTTCATGTCATCAATATATGTATATACATATATACTTTCTATTATAAGTATCTTAATTATTTATTTTTGGCCGAGTCTATCAATTGGTGGCTAGGCCAATGATGAGGTGCTTAGTAAGGATGGAATTGTATTTCCATTCCTACCAAACTTCATGAAATTGTAATTTTACAGTTTCCTCCGACCATAGAATTGCAATTACTAGGGTCTACACTTTATGAAATTGTAATTCTATGGCAACTTACTATTTTACCCTTATTCTTATTATAATATTATTACTCCCTCCGTCCCCAATTGGTTGTCTCATTTGCTTTTTGCACGCTTTTTAAGGAATTAAAGTAAATGTTATGTATTTTCCAATTATGCCCTTCACTTTTTCACTTTTGGGAATAAAAAAGTCATAAGGGTAATTTGGGAAAAAGTAGAATGATGGTGATGTTCAATTTTGGAAAGAGGACAACATTTTGTGACAAACTAAAAAGGAAAGTAAGACATGCAAAATGGGACAGAGGGAGTACTATATAAGGGTTTCAAAATATAAGGGTATTTTAGTCTTTATTTATACCTTCCTTTTCAATTCTCCATCATTCTATTCCTGCTAACCAAACAATATAATTTAAATTTCTAATTTATTCTTTTCACACCGGAATTACAATTTGTTTTCCCTTAATTCCATCATTCTAACCAAACACCATGTAAAGAGCAAAGTCTAGTACTTTAGATCTTAAAATGTATAAATAAAGTTACACATCTGCTACTTAATTATATCTTTCAGTATAATACTAAGCGTTTGATCTTAATATTTATGGCAATTATGATCATGTAGATGGCTGCAGAGTTGCAGAAGCGAGGAGAGAATTTCTCAAAGGAGCTGGATTTTGTTTGCGCTGATGTGGTATATATATATGCTTTTTAAATTTCATTGATTATATTGTCTCCTCTTAATTAGTAAACTACTAAAATGTGGAGTAAATTTGTTGATTAATTGGTGGATGATATATATATGGTAAATGCATGGCTGTTTTAGATAATGGCCTTGGTTGCAGATTTCATGCTGGTGTGGCTACCAGCCCCCACTGTTTCTCTCCGACCACCTCTTGCTATCACTGCAGCGCGAGGACCTCTCACCACTTTCTTTTACAACTGCCCCGACAATGCGTTTCAGATTGCCTTGCCTGGAACTTCCTATACCTTTTTACAACGGCTTGGTGCCTTCCTGGTATATTTTTTATTCATACTTCATCTATATTCTAAATGGAAAATACACTAGCTAGGTTTTTAGTTTCTCAATTATGCACGGTGGTTACCCGTAATGTTGGGTGGAGGTTAGTGATGGACCAAGTTCAACAATTGGTGGCTAGAGAATTGTTGGGCGGAGGTTGGTAAAAGGTCAAGAGTTGCGCAAGTTGCGCCTTAGCTATGAGTTGTATATTTTGGCGTAGTAGTAAACACTTTATCTAACAAGTGGTATCAGAGCCATGGTTTGAGTCCCAACAAAAGTGAAAACTGTGCAGACTGGCAAGTGTTGGGAGGGCGAATTGTTGGGCAAAGGCTGGCGCCGGTTGAAAATTATACCAGGGACCATGGTCTACCTTGTATTGTGGACCCTGGTTGAAAAATAACATTCAAATTCTGTACCTCTAAACAAATTGAAGGCATATCACATAGTAATTACACACACATAAATTGTTAACTACAAATACATAATATGTTAACTGCAGACACATATATAACATGTTAACATGTTATATATGTGTCTGCTGTTAACATATTTTGTACTTGTAGTTAACAATTTATGTGTTTGTAGTTATCATATTGTGTCTATAATTATCATGTTATGTGTCTCCAATTTGTTTACAGGTACAAAAATAGAACAAAATGTATGTGCAGACACATAATTTTTTGAATCAAAGTTCACAATACAATATGAACTCTGGTCCATAATATAACAATCGGAGGCGGGTACCACTTGATCCTAACACGTTAGTTAGTGCGTGATTTGAATTCAACTCTTTGGTGCAGAGAAATGGGGCAAAACTATTTGCAATCGGCACTGGTGCATCCGTGGTAAGTATACATACATACATGCATACAAAACACATTGATCTCATGTTGAGCCCTGCAACCTATACTAGGCTTTTGACATATATATTCCTGGTTGGTGCAGACTGGTACAGTTATAACAAATTCATTGATCAGATTGCGAAAGGCCATTGATACATCATTTGCCCGTGAAGTTGAGGACATTCCAATTTTAGCCACGGGAGCTGCATATGGTGTTTATATGTCTCTTTCCAGCAACCTTAGGTATAAATGTATATTAATTAATTCCTTCCCACTTGCTTTTCAAGAAACTTTCATTTTTATTTGAGCTGAGGCCGATAAATGGTCAAATCCTGTTGAAAAAATCTGTCTAGACTGCCACCTAAGCGTTTAGGTTCTCCTAGGTCGATGCAAATTACTCCCTAGGTGGTTAGTTGCCTAGGCGCCCAAATCGGCTGAGTTGGCTGCGAACTCGGCTGAGTTAACTGCGAACTCGGCCGAGTTAACTCATCCAATTCGGTGGAGTTGACTGTGAACTCCGCCGAGTTAACTCGTCCAATTCGGTCGAGTTGGCTGTGAACTCGGCCAAGTTATTCAAGTTAACTCAGTCGAGTCGGCCTTGCTATCTTTTTTTAATATATATATATATATATATATATATATATATATATATACCCACATATGTGCACTTTTTTTTGTTAGCGGCCTTGGCGCTAGGGTCTACTCTACCGTCTGGCTAGTGCCTACTGTAATCATGAATCCAACAATGGGTAGTTAGGAGATTGTTGGACAGAGGCTGGACGTGCCAAGTAAGGCAGTATGCCTCTCAAAAACGTGGAAGTCGTATATAAGTAAGGAGATAAAAGTACACATTCGCTATGAACTATAGTTTTGACATAGTGGTAAGCGTTTGATCCTAGCTGTAGAAATTAAATTCATCCATCCATCCTTCAATTCCTGGAACAGGTACCAAACGCTTGCTGGGATAATCGAACAGCGGTTGTTGGAGCCGTTGCTACACAACCACAAGATCGTGCTTAGTGCACTGTGCTTCGCTTTCCGAACAGGAAACACCTTTCTCGGATCACTCATGTATGAATTCCATCTGTTCTCTATTTTATTTTGATATATACACTATACCATCATTAATTCTCATTCTCTTAGACTCTAACTAAGTGTGTATGAATGTATGTATAGGTGGGTAGATTTTGCACGCTGGATAGGAGTGCAGAGATCAAGAGCATAACAGAGCGCAGATGGATCATATATTCATATCCCTCCTGCCCTGCAATTTGAATTCTTAGCTTGAGTGAGGCTACCATTCTTGTTAAGTGTATTATTATTGTTGCCGTTCACTATTCTTCAAAATGGAAGATGAGTACCAACTATAATCAAAATTTTCTCCACATTTTTGGGTTATAATTCCTAGGATCAATTATTACTTTTTTTTTTTCAATTTCAAATTATTATTTATCTATGAGCTAATACCTAATTTGGTCCCTCGACTATTAGGATTTCACCAATTTGGTCCTCGATTGCTAAAGTTGCTCAATTTAGTCCTTAACTATGTAATTTTTACTTAATATGGTCCCTCGACTATTAGGATTTCACTACTTTGGTTCTCGACTACCAAAGTTACTTAATTTAGTCCCTAATTATGTAATTTTTTTTTTTAAACCTAAAATGGTCTATCGACTATTAGAATTTCACCAGTTTGGTCTTAGACTATTAGTATTTCACCACTTTGGTCTTCGACTCTCAAAAAGGTCCCCAAATCCACACACTCAACTTACATTTTAGGTTAATATTTGCGTAGTTGGGGACTAAATTAAACAACTTTGATAGTCGAGGATCAAAGTGGTGAAATCCTAATGGTCGATGGACCATTTTAGGTAAAAATTGCATAGACTAAATTGAACAACTTTAGTAGTCGATGACCAAAGTAGTGAAATCCCAATAGTTGAAGAACCATTTAGATAAAAATTGTATAATTAGGAACTAAATCGAACAACTTTAAAAGTCAATGACCAAATTGATAAAATCCTAATAGTCCAGGGACTAAGTTGGGTATTAACCCTTTATTTATTTACTTGTAAGATATTGAAAATGATAAAGGCATAGTCAAATGTTTGTACAAAATAAAAAGCCTTATTATAATTATAATCCTAATATAATTATAAGGAAAGTTGCTACATTCTTCCATTTGGTGTAAACATCAACCCCAAAGTACATAAAAATACGACTATGTCCTCTTAGTACAAGTAGTATCTACTATGATCAAGTACAGACCGTCCTTAAGTACTTAATTAGGTAACAAAATTTAATGAAACAGATCATGTGTTTATTTCAAGTCTAACGAAGTACATTTTCCTCAACGAGATAAAGTAAAGTGTACACACTTAAATGAGGAAAATGTATAAATGCAAAAGAAATTCATTACAATTGAATTTTTATATACAAATTACAAAGTGGGCACAAGTCTATCATTTCAACAAGATTATTGAATTTAAATGCAGGTATGTTTTTAGTCAAAGGATCGGTTAATATCAACTCAGTGCTAATGTGCTTAATGACCACTATTTTTTAAACACAATGGCTAAGAACTTATGTTAATATACTTGCTTTTATTCCCACTTTTGTCATTCTTAGTTCGGAAGACCAAAGTTGAGTTTTCAAAGTAGAGTTTCAAATGCTTAAATATAGAACTCACAAATCTAAATCTAAAGATGAAATTCTTGAGCCAAATGCCCTGTGAAGTGTCCTCAAAACTGGAAATGAACTTGGCGTCCATGGTATGACCATTCACACGATTGTATTAAGAAAAGGGGTGTCCAATGCATTGCAAGGATTTGCGAAAGCTTTGTCCCTTTTGAGTATAGGAATAAGAATTGAAGGCTGGTAAACAAGGGAAAAGAAACCAAAATTTGGAATGATCTATGGATCGATGGCATGACACTAGAGGAGTTGGTTAATCGCGAGAATTACCATGGCGATTTGGAGGAAAAGGTAGAAGAGTTTTGGATAGTCAAGGGAGGTTGGAAATCGAATCAGTTGCCTAAATTGGTTCCAAATGACATGCTCACCAAAATGGGGATTATTTCCCTTACTAAAGGAGAAAAAGCTAGAAACTAGAGCGCTATTGGATGGCTGAAAGTTTAGGTAAGGCTTCTATTAGTTCGACTTATAACTTTATTAATTTAGACTTTTTTTTTTTTTTTTTTTTTTTTTTTTTTTTTTTTGGGTGCAGAACAATGATTGACCAAGAATTTAGAAGTTAGGGCTCGTTTATTAATGGAAAAATTTCTTCAATTTTTGAAAAACTGGAGAATTAGAAAACAGAAAATATAAAACATGTTTACTAGCACCTTTTTTCATTTTAAAAACAGGAAACAATTTTTCAGTTTTCTAGAGAAAACTATTAAAAATTGTTTTCTAAACGGAAAACAAAATCGTCTGATCTATATAGCATATGATTTATTCATTATCATCTTCTTTTACTTATCACCACCTTTATTCATTATCATCTTCTTTTACTTATCACCACCTTCTATTTTTTTCTTCTATGGGAGGGGGTTTGAACTCCCAACATCTCTTAAGGGATGAGAGTGCATGACCACTCACTCCAACCAAGCTGGTTACTTGCATTACTTATTTAAACATAACTTATTTACTTAAATTTAGACATTATTCACATTATCAAAATAAAAAAAAAAAATTAAACTCTATATCAGGTTTTATACTTTGATTGAACTCAATTGATTATTGGTTCATATATTTTTAGTTATGTTATATCGTAATATAAGTTTGGTCCAGATATCGGATATTGAAATTTCACATATATTATTACTATATTAGAATTTAAAGTAAAAATTATATATTTATATACATGTCATTCAAATAAATATATTCAAAAATATTATTTTATCTAAACTAAATTTTAGGTAAACTTAATAGGTTATTGGTTCAAATATATTTTTAGTTGCGTTATATACATATATAAATTTGATTCAGATATCAAATGTAAAAAATCTTACATATATTGGACTTATTAAAAGTAAAAACTATATTAATTCTATTTATATCAAATATATTTTAAAATATTTTAAATAGAAGGTCTAAAAATCACACAAAATTAAACTTGTGTTAATTTTATAGCGTTAATCTAAAAAATAAATTTTAAAAAGTAGATGTTAATAAACAAGTTATGGAGAATGAAAATTGAAAAATTAAAAAATTGTAAACAGAAAATAGTTTCTGTTAATAAACTAGGCCCTTAAAGTCCCAAACAAAATGAGGTTCTTCCTATGGTTGGTCAAGCATGGCAAAATCCTATGCAATTATGAGAGGAAGAAATTAAAAGGGGCATGACGACAATCGACATTTGCCTAGTATGTCACTCAAAGGAGGAAAATTTGGACCATTTATTCCAAAGATGCGATAGAGCTAATGATTCTAATTAAAGAAATTGTGGACTAGCTTAGTGGTGGTAGAATGCCGCCGGTTGGTCCTCTTCTGAGTCTTCGCAACACTATTGCAACGTGTAAAGAGTGGATAAGCAAAAAATGGGATGTTATGGTCAACCATGTCTACCGAGAGTAAAATTTAGTATTTTTTTTTTAAAATTAAAATAAGTGAGTCTAGTCAAGAAAGGACCAATGATAAACTAGTCTAAGTTTCTCCTAACTTCAACACAAATTAAAAAAGGTCGATAAGTTGCTCTTATTGGGAGTCAAACTTGAAACTTTGTGTCACCAAATCAACAATTTGACCAACTCAACTAGAGTTATCCAAGTGACCCTAAAATTGAAATCATCCTTTCTAATTCATTCCAGTTTTTTGTCTTAAAAAACAAAAGGAAATAATTCTTTGAAATGTATGAAACAAAGCATCAATGGCATTTGGATTACAAGTCGAGTTTTATTATGATGAGAATATATTTTCTGTGTATTGATCAAGAGCAGCGGATACAAAGTATATAAAGATACGAAATAGAGATCTAGTCTAATACTACTAATATAATAGAGATCTAGTCTAATATTACTAGTAGAGTCTTAATACTCCCCCTCAAGCACAAGGTTGGTCAGCCAAAACATTGAGCTTGCAACGGAGTAAATTAAAACGCACAGACGAAAGAGACTTAGTAAAAATATCCGATATCTGATCTTTGGTAGAAATAAAATTGACTTGTAATTCCTTCTTTGCGACTTTATCACGAACAAAGTGGTAGTCGATCTCAATGTGCTTGGTGCGAGCATGAAACACCGGATTAGCACACAGATAAGTAGCTCCCAGATTGTCACACCAGAGTTTGGGCACAGAAGGTGGCGCAAACTCGATTTCCTTCATCAGAGACGCGAGCCAAGTAACCTCTACAGAGTCATCAGCCAGTCCTTTGTATTCAGCCTCAGTTGACGAACGAGCCACAGTACGCTGTTTTCGACAAGCCTATGAAACAAGATTGGTCCCCAAAAACACAGCAAAACCACTAGTAGATTTGCGATCATCAGGATTGCCAGCCCAATCCGAATCAGAATATGCATGAATATCCAGAGAAGGAGAAGAAGCAATCTTAAGACCAAGATGTAGTGTCCCATTTACATACCGTAACACCCTCTTGAGAGCCGCCCAATCCGCAGTAGAGGGAGAGTGCATGTGCTGACATAAACGATTGTCTGCATAGGAAAGATCAGGCCGAGTTACTGTAAGATATTGCAGAGCACCTGCAAAGCTGCGATACTGAGTGGGATCAGCGTATGGTACCACGACATCAGTCTCGGCCTTCGTGGTTGAAACCGGAGTGGCCACGGGCTTGCAATCAACCATATCTGCTCGTTTTAGAATATCCTTCATGTACCGTTGTTGAGACAGAAGCATGCTGTAACACCCCAGATTTTCAAGATATTTAAAACTTATAAAATAAAGGTGAAATCTCATTAAATCCCAAAACATAATTCAAGAGTGCAGGGTGCTATGCCACACCTGAGCTAGAGAACTCAGGTGCACAGGCTAACTAACTAATATTCCCAAACGGTATCAATACTAAATCATGGCACGCAGGCCGAAAGGGAAAAACTATTTAAGCTACGCCCAAGCTTCTAGCGCGCTCCAGTGATCTACTTGTCTGTGCCTGAAAGCCAAATATATCTGTTCAGCAAGAGATGCTGGTAACCCACTCCAACGTGTTGAAATACAATATAAATAGATATATATATAGATATACGAAAACCATTTTTGAACATGAAGATATATCCTACGAACTCTAACTTTTTAAAACAGGGATAGACTCAACAGATAGAGCTAAGCACAGACAGCAGTTATACCCGGCATATACAGTCCACAACAGGCAAGACAGAATAGATAAGCACAATAAATAATCATAACCCAACATGTACAATCCCTGGTACAAATCCCATAGTCTTATCCCCAATTTACTCATAACAA